GTGTGTGTGTGTGTGTGTGTATTGACAACATCTTTCTTGGGAAATTGATCTAATTTCTCTCTTATGGACTGCAAATTGCTCTTCATGAGCTCCATATCAACAAACTCACTTTCTCTGAAACGACAATATATCTTGATGCCGTGTCTTGATTTAAAGTGCTTGAGCCAACCTTGAGAAAATGGACTTTTGGCGTATCTATAGGGTACATCTTTTTCATAAACTCCTTTGCATTCTCTATGATTAGATTTTCGGTCATAATCACACATTCTTGGTATTGAACGAACCACTCATAGAGAACCTTCGCTAGCTTCAAGAATTTTGCAGTTTTGTATCGTTTGGTATCACATTTTTCAATGTTGGTTGATAAATACTCTGATGACCTCTTGATCGTATTTGATATTATTGCTTAGTTCACTTGCAAGTTAAACTTTTCTGATACCCACTGTTGCAATTGCTTTTGGGTATAATTTAGATTTTTTATGTTGTGCTCACATGATACTTTATGTTTCTCATTCCATCATTGTTGATTTCTTTGTTCCTTTGAGAGGAGAAGCCATTATGTTTAGTTTTAACGTTTGTGATACTTTATTTTCTTTTTATAAATGTTTTTGCTTGACCTAATGTACCTTAAACCCTAAATCTTGATAAATTAATTTTTCATTAATTAATGTATAAACTAATAATTATTAATTTAATAATTAAATAATATTTCGATTAATTAATAAATTTTCGTAACCTCAAGGGTATTAATTTATAGAGGTTTTACTGTATTACTTATATGTATACATGACCTTCTAATGGTCCTAGTCTTGCACTATTCAACACTCAACAATCACAACACTTGCATGACATTCATCAAACTAAGGTGAGGTGAATATTTTTTGAATATATATATATATATATGTATATATATTATAATCATATTTTCTTACTTTTTAGTTCTTATCGAGTTTTTTGAGTATATGGAGTTCTATAGAAGTAAAATGTGAAGAATATTACATGGCATTCTTTGAGTCAAAACCTTGGAATAAGGGCTTGTTTCACGATTTGAAAACCCTTTCCTATAGTAGTATACACATGGTGTAGAAAACCTTAATTTGATGGAATTTTCACTTAACCAATTTTGTTTTTCTACCAACTTCATTAATTCATAGCTGCATGTATGGTTTTCCTTCAACCACTCAAATAAAATCTCAAAATTAAACATCTTTCTAAATTATAAATCACACCACAAAGATTTCATGTGAAAGTTAAATTTTTTTTATACCTTCACACATTTCAATTTTGAAATTTTTCTTAAAAATTTCTTTGGAGCTCACAGGTTGCTTATTTTGTTAATAGCCATACTTCTTTACTTTTTAGCTCTTCTCAAATTCCTTGAATGTATGAAGCCTTATGGAAAGTAAAATGTGAAGAATATAGCAAAAGATGAGAGGAGAGAGCTCTTGGGTTCTGCAAAATTCACAAAATTGAACCCTTAAGCTTGGTTTTTTCTCTCTCTACTCTTTCTCTCTTCTCGATTGGGAGCTTCAAAATGTTCAAACTCTTTTTTTTTTTTCACGTCTAATAAGCAGATATTACAAAGTCAAACTTTTAAATCATATTTATATCCCATCTCTCTCTACATGGGTAGACTGTCCAATGTCTCCTCACAAATTTTCATTTTATTTATTTAATTTTTTTTAATTTAAATATCATATCATAGAATCATTACTTTACTTCCCTTTTATTTCACTCTCACTTGCATTTCATTTACATTTCATGTGCATTCTTTTAACTTTTTTCTTATATTAATATTATTATTATTTATTTTAAAATAAAACTTTATAAACATTTTCACCTTTCTTTCAAATTACATTACATATCTCTAAATCATCTAATTTTTTTCTATTTGACCTTCACACACACGAATCATTTTTCATGCAACATTGTTTTTTCTTTTCTCTTTTTCCTTTATATATGTTACCTAGCTCTTTTACACATGCAAATATGTCTCATTTACCATCACTTATTCTTACTTTAAGTTATAATTTACTAATATATGAATTTATTTACATATATCACAATATAAATATATATTATTATATTACTCAATCAAGCTTACTCAATGTGCCTGTGTTACCATATGCCTCTTATGCATTTTGCTACTTCCTCATTTGTGCTTGTGCTAATCATATATATATATATATATATATATATATCACATTTATAGACAAAATTTAACCTCAAATCAAATAATATCATTTTTAACTCTATTCAAAATATTCTTTTTGTCTCTAAATATTCTAAATTGCTTCTTTTGATTTTTTTATTATTTTAAAAATCTTTACTAAGTAACTCACCAGTTACAGGGTGTTACAATAAGTTAGATTTGTGTCTGGTTCTTACTGTAACCTTGACTTTTATGTATTACCCATGGTTGTTGCGACAAGTGTACTATCCTGACAATGGGTTCATTTTGTACAAGAAGAATAAAATAAACGATTCAGCTATTGGACAGAATGACGGATAATTATAGATGCACATGCAGGCATTTTCTTTATTATTTTTTTAAGATACCCATTCCATTGTCTTTTTGCAGCAGTGAGCTCCATTTTAAGGTGAGACTGCTGAAATTTCAACTTGAGTTTCTGGTAATAGAGCAATGAAAAATGGTTTCAATAACTGTTTCCCTTGCTCTGGGTTGTGAACCTTTTTTTCCCTTTTACAATGTTTTTTAGTAGAATAGCCTTTTATATTTACGACCTCTGACGTCTTTCCCCGCTTCCCCACTGGATGGGGAGCAAAGAACCTTTCTAATGTGAACTTTTGCTCTTCTTGTTCCCAATAGGTTGGCGGACCCAAAAGGAAGGCCATTTGAAGTTCAAGTGGCAAGGTTCCCCCTGCAGAAGCCAGATTATGTTTTTTGACAAACTCTTGCATAGTTTTCTTGATAACATGCTCAGCCCTTGGTTTTGGCTGTTAATAAATATGAAAGGCTTTGACATTGTGAAACCCCCTTTTAAGCCCTCTGCATTGCCAGATTGCTTATCATGAAAAATTTGTTATATGCTACCCTGCTTCTGCATGTGAAAAGAATGGCTCTAGGTTTGTTGAATGGTTGGTATCTCCTCAAGTAGAGCAGCTGTTGGTAGCTGCTTATACTGTTTGAGCAAAACTCTGCTGATAAAACTAATTTTTAAGCTTCATTCGGAAAACAATTAGCTAATCTGTGATTCAAAGTATTGTTTATATGTTTTGCTGGGAAAAAACTGTATTCCATATTATATCAGAAAGAAAACCTTCTTTGAACATAACAATTGTGGAAAAATTTCAATCCTTGTCTTACAAGTTATACCTGTACATCTGTGGTCATCAATACAATTCTTGCCAATTGGATGAGCAAGTTATTATGTTTTATCACTCACAAATTCCGTTCAAATTGATGATGAGAGAATCATGTTGCCTATATGATATATCGTTTATAAGCGCAGACGTATGACCTACACCAAGTACCTCTAAAGGGGAGGCAAGTAGGGTAACTAGTGGCAACGAGGACATTATCAAATTGGGTGAAGGAAAATATCAATCTCAGTGCTTCAAAGGAAATAGGTAAGGCATCAGACAAGTAAAGAGATTTTGAAAAATTTATGAGAGTATAAATATGCATGTGTTCAAGCGACATTCTCTCCTATTTATGGATTTAGACAAATAATTTTAAAGTGTATATGATTTCTCTATTTATTCTCTCCATCTCTCTCTTGTAATTTAGACAAATAATGTTAAATCATTTTAAAAATTTATTTATAAGTTTATGTGATTTATTTTTATGATTAACTTTTACTTGATTAGGGTTGTACTCTTTTTTTTCATAATTATGAATGCATCATATTGACACAATTATTTATTAAATAAGTCATATGATATAACAAGCTTGTTTAATTAAAATTTAAAAAATTGTCATATTTTGACGTAGTTAAACTTGTTTTGTGTGGAATCAAATGAACTTATGGATTTCACCATTAGTTAAGTACGAAAATAGAGTGACTTACAATAAAGATGATCAATAACTTTTGTCTTGTATTTATGTATTTATATTGACAAAAAAAAAACTTTTGACTTTTTTGAAAGATGTTGAAACAAACTTAAATACACATACATGCCATGTCTGAATTTTGTTATCAAGACTGTCTTGAACCAATTGCTTGCATTACTAATGTTAGAAACTCATGATGCTTATAAATTTAGGGTTTAGCAAACAATTGATTCGATCTATTCAACGTGTCATAATTGAAAATCGAATTAAATGAAATTTAATGATAGATTCACTTATTACTTTATTATAATTTTAATACTTATAACAAGTGATTGCATTTAAGATGTCATAAAAAAATCAATTGTGATCGATTGTGGATCTAGTAATTTTATATACAACATGATAATATGACACGTATGTAATACAGAGTTAAATAGAGTTGGGTTTAGGGCAATCGTGTTTTGTACTCATGATGCTTATAAATTTAGGGTTTAGTAAACAATTGGTTCGATCTATTCAACGTGTCATTATTGAAAATCGAATTAAATGAAATTTAATGATAGATTCACTTATAATTTTATTATAATTTTAATACTTATAACAAGTGATTGCATTTAAGATGTCATAAAAAAATCAATTGTGATCGATTGTGGATCTAGTAATTTTATACACAGCATGATAATATAACACGTATGTAATACAAAGTTAAATGGAGTTGGGTTTAGGGCAATCGTGTTTTGTAACTTAAACAAATCAAATCTATTAAATTTGTTTAAGGCTCATTAATTAATTGCGTTATCAAGTA